CCCCCCGTTCCGCCGCCTATGGTGATGAGCGGGGAAGCCAGCTGTGGCAAGGGTTTTTTTCTTCGAACAACAGTTTCCGAGATATAGCCTCGGGCAATTCCTGGAGGTCGCGCTGCAGTCCTATGTTTGGCGGCCTATAACTCAGAAACTATTGATTTTCTACGATCAAAACGTTATGTGGTTCAACTCACAATCAACCAACAAACATTTTGGCTATCTCGGATTTTCAATTTTTGAAAATTTTGATCACGTGACCTTTTTACCTATTTTTCAGTGACTTTATATATACGATACATACGATACGATAAAAAAAAAAATGCTGAGCCATAGGAACCCGGTGGATAAAGAGTAGTGGACCATCAACCTGTATCCGACTGTACCACACTTGGTGTTGTAAAATGAGTATCCACGCAAATGCTCTTCTCGATAATGGGAGTGGAACATTGCTCTTCAAAAACTAGATGTGAGAGAAAAATTATTTTCATTTGGATGTCATTTCCCACCTAAATCGACAAGTTTGGGAGAATGGTCTTGAGGTTACAGGTACGACAAACAGCCAACTAAAGGAGCTGACAAATCCGATGCCGATTTATTTGCTACATCTGACGAGTACCATACAACGAGCTCAAGTCCAGGGCTCCTAGCCGATACTCAACAATATTGTAGTGCGGCTCGGCAAACTTTATGAAGATGCGTAAATCATTTCGCGACAAAGATAGACAGAAAAAGGGAGAGAAACACTTATTTTAATACAGGACTTGCTATTTCACTTTTGAAGTGTCGAGCCATGACGATGTTAATGATTCTGTGTCACATCCAAATGTCTTAGCGTCACGCACACATCCCAGCAGATGCCGCGCATGCTGGCCACTGTCGATGAGATAGATGGACACGGCTTACGTTACACGCGCGGACGCGCCCGGGACTCGACACCAGCACGAAACCCCCGAGTCGATGGCTAGCGCGTGCTGCTCAATGGATACCGCTCAGAAATCGCGCCGGTGATAGCGGTCTGGGTCGACGTACGAGGTGACCACCACGCGGCTAGCGAACTTACGACCGGTCAGGTGCTGCTGAGCCTTCTGGCAATCAAGCACAGAGTTGAACTCGACAAACACCTTGCCAAGACCGGGCACCTCCACACCGTCGATCGGACGCGGGATCTCAATACTCTTGACCACACCGTACTTGCTGCATTCGAGTTTGATATCCTCGACGATGTCTTCGTATTCCTCGTCGTCGCGCAGCTCGTCCGGGGTGACCATGTTGAGCAGACAGAGCACCTCGGTGGCCGGGCCGGCGCCGCTCGCCATCTGCAGGCCCGGCACCTGGATCTGCACCGGCGCCATCATGCCCGAGTTCTTGGAACCGACGTTGGCGCGTTGTACAATCAGCTTCTTGTCACCCAACTGCATGCCGTTCAGACCCTGGATCGCCTGCTCCGTCAGAGATGTGTCCACGTATTCACAGAACGCGAATCCTTTGCTCAGACCTGTTGCAGAGTCTTTGACCAGGTTGAAGGCGCGCAGTTGGCCGAAGGACATGAGCAGCTCCTTGACCTGGTCCTCGGTCAGGTAACTCGGCAGGCCACCCACGAAGATCTTGTTCGGCGAGTCCGGCACAACCGTAGATATGACGCCGACAACGCCCGGGACATTCGACGCGGGCCCATCGGTGATACCCGGCATGGGTTGGTAGTCGTGCGGCCGGCGGATCTTCAGGCTCTGGCCCTTCAGATTGATACCGTCAAACGCCACCGCCTGCGTACACTCGTCAATGGAGCGGAACTCGAGGAAGGCAAAGTTTTTGTCCAGGTTAATCTGACAAGCGAGCACTGGACTACCAGCTGCCTGAGCCAGGCCACTAAGATGCATCTGCTGGTTGAAGAACTCCATCATCTCCTCCTCAGTGACGCCAAAGGGGATGTTGCCGACGTAGAGACGGCGCGCCTGGCGTGTTACGGCCGAGCCCACGACAGGTGTGTTGGTGAGCGCGTCCGCGATGGGGTTGGTGGGTATCTGGCCAGCTGCCTGCATCGCCTTGTACTGTAGCGGTGTGATGTGCTCGAAGCCGGGGGGCGGGATGTCCCAGTACTTGCTGGGCTTCTTGCGCGTCAGCTTCGTCACGCTGCTGCTACCGCCGCGGTCACGAGACCGAGACCGGTCCCGCTTGCGGTCGCGCGACCGAGACCTACGACGGTCCCTGTCCCGTGACCGGCTGCGCCGCCGCCGATCTCTGTCCCTGTCCCGGTCGCGGTCGCGGTCCTCGCCCATGGCTGGTCGCGTTGACTGACCTGTTACCTAAGCTGAAACTGTGACGCCACCGCTGCGCTGAAACGCCTGTGGGTGCTGCACTGAGCTGCAGCAGCTGCAACAGCCTGTGCTGAAACGCCTGTGGATCCTGGGCCTCTCCGACAAATCTGCTACACCTAGCGGAGAGATCAGGACAAGATTTGCAGATATGACACACGACAAGAGAAACATTTATACACAAATCAAAATTGGCATGTCAGTAAATGATGAAACTTGGGAATCAGCTGAAAAGCCAAAAGGTAACATCAGTTCAGTCAGAAGCTGCACATCTTCAACTGAAAATAAGAGGCATTTGTGAGCGATACACAACGCCAGAACTCAATAAGAATCGGAGGAACATGATGGGACAATGATAAGCAGGTGATACAATAACAATCTTCAGTCAATCTGGCCCATCATCACTTACAATAATGCTACATGAACATATTGACCTTGAATTTGAAAAGCATTTTCCCCAAGTCAGAAGGCTTACACACAATGCTGAATGTAATGTATACCCGTAGCTTAATGAGGCAACTAAGGAATATTATTACCACTGTACCAGCTGTGTAGGTACCTAATGCACACCTTTCATAATACAGCCAATCATGAAAATTATTGCTAATTAAGAGCTGCATCTGACAAGAATTGACCAACAACACAGACAGCAAAGCAAAAGAAATTAGCATAAACAGATTCTCAACACAACCAGGGCTGCGGAGTCGGTCGGAGTCGACAGTTGTGACCGGAGTCGGAGTCGGAGTCGATTTTAGAAACCCGAGCCTGAGTCGGAGTCGGAGTCACCGAAAATCTGTCGACTCCGCAGCCCTGCTAGGTCTGCGGAGTCGGAGTCGGGAGTTGGAGTCGGTCGGAGTCGACAATTCTGCCCGGAGTCGGAGTCGGAGTCGGAGTCGCCGAAAATTCATCGACTCCGCAGCCCTGAACACAACAATGAACAAATGAATGACATTTCTTTGGAAAACTAACAGCATCAACCAGCTTTAGCCACTAGCCAGTATCCCAAAATTGTATTTAGGCTTGGGTGTCAGAGGGGGAATAACTATTACCTACCTAACCAAAAAGGGGGATCATAGTGTGTGTAAAACTGCTGGTCAGATATGACCCAAAGAGAAAAAAAGGATCAATGGCGTTGATTTATAAACAAAGGTGGTATAGCATAGAAAGAATTATAACCATTAATGCAAATGGTTTTTCTCAGTTATATTGGGGGTGGAAAATGCTAAATGGCTGATGGCTCTAAATAGTGTAATGGTAACAAAATTGAATGGTAGGTACCTAACCAATACGTGGAAAATAGTAAAATTTTTAAGCTCATGGTGCTGCTGCAAAGTGTTTACCATAGCCTATCATCACATCTTATCTTTAAAATTGGAAGCTAGTGCAAAATGAATTCCATGTGGTTCAGGGCCATGTTTGGGCAGTGCATCCTATTGTAAAATTGTGCACCTCGCATGCGCAGTTGGGGTCCCTCGGGTGCCAAGCTCAGCCCTCTGGTGTATGACATCACAGTGTGATGTAGGCTCGCACATCTTTCAGTTTTGCGCAAAAAGAAAGTGGTAGCTGCAGAATGTGAAAGTAGAGCGGATTTAAGTTTACCCTCCTATATTTCTTATTTTAAGTGGTTAGTGTGGTGTTTTTTGGTATCATTATCTTTCTTTTCAGTGGCACATTGCTATTAACCACATTTGCACATATTTTACTCAGTTATTGAACGAAGCCCACCAGTCCATCCGCGCCGTGGTTCACTATGTGTCACATGGCCCTGTGCTTTGCGGGCTGGCGAAGAGGGGGCGGCTGACATTATCGCAAGTGTGACTTCACACTCTGCAAAATATTTTGTGCTGACCCAAACACGGCTCTGGATGTTGTTTTGCACCCGAAATAAATTCTGGGACACTGGTTGTTTAGCTGAGTTATTTGCATTAAATCAAGAAAATTCATATACTTCAGGCCTTATGAGAAGTATGCGCATCTGGCTGACCTTATCCTCACTTCTGTATGGAAATATGAAATTGCCAAAATAAATTACTGTATTAAAAATCGAGATATTTCGAGCACAGCTCTTCGTCGGTCGATTGTAATTATTTACACACATAACAGGCCTGTTATGTGTGTAAATAATTACAATCGACCGACGAAGAGCTGTGCTCGAAATATCTCGATTTTTAATACAGTAATTTATTTTGGCAATTTCATATTTCCATACAGAAGTGAGGATAAGGTCAGCCAGATGCGCATACTTCTCATGATGATATTCCTCAGAACGCTTAACCACTTACTTCAGGCCTTACTTGATTATAATCTCAGAAAACAATCTCCCATTAACAGTAAAAGACTGTAAAAATAATTAATATAAAATCCAACACGACCTGCGACAAATAGTTGCGCACCGGCATAGCCGGTGAAGCTCAAAAGAAGCCGAGCGAATTTTGATAATCTGAATCATGAGCAGTGAAGTGAATGATTACGATCTGACCGTTCTGCTGCTAAATACTTACCCTTGCAATAATAATCCACGCGCCCCAACGGCACGAAATAAATTGCACCGGCGGCGACGCGCACAGAAACACGCGCAGCAATATGGAAGCGCAATACACCAAAATCCCAGAGTTACCAAATGAAGTATTACTACCAAATTGTAAATTCGGTAAATGCTGAAAGCTTAGATTTGAAGAACCGCCGGTAGGTGGCAGTAAGCTGCAGTGAAGGGGCATCGAGCCGACTCCTTCACCTTGTAGCTCGCCAGCTCGGCCGCCCGCGGGTCCTCGGCGCCGGCGATGCGCTCCGCTCCCGCTCCGCCGGCCGTCAGTGGTCGCTATGGCCGGAGACGGCGCGGTGGGGACGGCGGACATCACCGCTCGAGCGGAGGCGGTGCTCGCGCGATGTCGCCAGCTGGGCGTGCAGCCGGCCCAGCTGCGCCGGCTGACCGGCTACGGCCGTCTGCTGACGGAGGGTGCTGAGCTGAGTGACTGCGGGAGCCGGCGGCGGCGCTGGGTGCTGCCGGCCTCGCTGGCGCTGCTGGTGGCCGTGCTGCTGCAGCAGCAGCTCTATACGGTGGCCGGCCTGTCGCGGCTGCTCTTCAGACTGGAGGGCATCAGCGAGCACGCCGAACAGGTGAGGGCAAGGTCCGAGCTGGACCGGCCGGCCACCCCGCCTCTGACCTCTGACCTCCTGGGTGTTCCAACAGCGTCCAACAGGACGCGGAACCGTAAAAGTGGAGACGTTTGGAAGCACAACGAAGAGGAAAACCAAAAAATGTCCGTGAAGTTAACGTCTGAGCCTTCGGCAATGCCGCATGGCTGTGATCCTTTTTGCTGATCATACCTAATCTCCCTGCAAGTCGGACAACAAATTTTCACTTTCATTCGCACATCAGCAGCTTTAGTAGGCCGCACTTGGCAGCCTGTTTTCCTAACGTATACCTACCTACCGTTTATAAAAGCTACGCACGGGGACTTGCACTGAATGACATGACATTGCACACAACACATTGTCAGACTCGTGTCGTGAGAACCGGCGCTGCGCCGCGGTATTTGGCCGGTGTCTCTTGAAGCGGTCGATTCAGATTTATCGACTGATTTATCTTACAGAACACTCGGAACCGTGGATACCTACATCCGCGTAGGTACGAGCACTCGGAGAATAATAAGCCAAGAAGGTAGGTCGACTATTCACGTTTCATTGGTCGGTAACCTAACGGATGAGGTCGGGTTAAGTGCCGAATCTCGATCCAACATCCCACTCCGGCATCGTTCAGGTCAGAGCAGCAATCGAGGCAGCAGTAGTGTAGTACTCGAGTGTCAGCTGCTGATCGCTGAGTTTGTGTCCAGCCGGCCAGTGTTATCTACTTATGCTGCGTTGAAGGCACCGCGCCACCACGCTCCGCGCCCGGCGCAAAACGGTCCTCCGGACTCCTCCCGTGGAGCACCCGGCCAGTTTTCTGCGATCAGATTGGCCAGCTGTGGGGCTGAAATCGGCACCTCATTCTGGATAATTTTTATAACTTTTCATTATCTTCTACATTAAAAAGTAGGGATCATTCGATAGAAGTAATTCATCAAGTAGTCGAAACAGCCTATGAGTTGGTCTTACCGCTCGGTCGCTCTGCTGCCCCAATCATTCAGTGCCTATTCTCTACCTTTCCACCGCCCAGTCTTGCTCCCATTATCGTTTGTTTCCTGTTCTCCCCATCGTTCCGTACCCGTTTATTCTACCATTCGACCTCATCACCACCGTTCGACTCCCGCTCCTTCCGCTGTTCGATGGTAGTGTCGTTCCCATCGCTCGGTCGCTCCTCTCCCCATGGTCCGGTCCCTCCAACTGCTCTGTTTCGGGGTCGTGCACGGACACGTGGATCTGTTGTGGTCGGTAGGTGTTGCGGGCGCTCCCATATCACCCACTGATCGCAGACACCGCGCAGGCGGCGGCCGTATAGGCCGTGCTGGTGACCTTGGTTACCGAGTCCTCAGCGGTGCGGACTGCGGAGCAGGCGCCTCTAGGAATGACGACGGAGATTTGAACTTCGCACTTTAGCAGCGCTGGTCATCTTTCCTTGGAACGTCTTCAGCTAATTAATTTCTGCCGCTCACATTTTTCGTTTGGAATGACATTTCGATCATGCACCTAAAAATACATGTTAACTTGTCACTTTCCGACACTCCTCAACAGACCACCGTGGTCGGCATGTTTTGACTTTTGGGTGGTCTTGTACCGTGCAAACCAACCACTACCGGCGCACGCCGTGACGGTACGGCACGACCTGCCCCAGTCTGACCGCACTCCCTTCCCACGCCCCCGCCGGCGGCTCGCCTTTCATCCCAGTCACTCTCGCTCTCAGGACGAGTCTCTGCCGTCTATGTGCCGACCTGAACTGGCCAGACGGGTTTTCATGGCTCCAGGCGCCCGGCTGACCGACCCCAACCCGGCCTGCCATGCTTGTTTTTCCGACTACGAAGAACAGGGCAAAAAGTGGCGTAGAGATTCAGATGGCATGGGTCCAATAGAAACTCAAAATGTCTCTATCGACCCATGATATAAGACTAAGACTATCTTTAAGACTAAGGGTTGACACAAAGTGCAGTGCGTGGTAGTTTTAACAAATACCATAAGCGAGGGCTTGTACCGTTTCTTCTGTCGACTTTCGGAGGACAGTCGTCACTCACGCAGACCGCAGCTAATAAACTGGCGCACGTAAGCGAAAAATCATGAAAAGAATATCATGATAACCTGAGCATGACTAAACGTTACAAAAGCTTCAGTTTTAACGGTGTCAGAAGTTAAAAACGGTGTCAACATGCTCATCAGTAGCCGAGCGCACTGCTGGCTTGTTATCGGTCCGACATCCGTGAAAAGTCTGGTTTGGTAAACTGAGTGCCTAATCCAAGTCCGATCCCGTACGTCCAGCCACGGAGACTGCATTTTTAGTGTTTGTTTTCGGTCAGTGATAGCCTGTGCCGCAAGGCGTAGGTACGGGAATGCGGCATAGCCTACTCGTGGGATTGCAGTAGAATTGACTGACGCACACACAGAGCGGAAATTTCATAGGCGAGGGAACCGGGGGGAGGGGGGGGGCAGCTTGCCCCCCCAAACTCTGGGGCCGTGGGGGGGGGGGGCGGTGCCCTCACAACTTTGAGACGGAATATCGCACTTTTTTTGCAAATGTATTCTTTTTTGTTGAAAAAGCTAAGGGCCTGTGGCCTAAAACCGACAAGAAGACTACATTTGGGGGTGCCCTAGGTTGAGCTCTATTGTGGTGTGCCCCTAGTCTGAAAGAAGTTCCCGCGCCCTTGGGAAATTAAATGGTGCGATCAACACAATGATGAACGGTGACGGTGACGGTAACGTACTTGTAGTTGCAAGTAGACTGATATAATGTCCCACATTTCTTTTTAATGCTTTTGTGGGCAGGGCTGCGGAGTCGATGGATTTTCGGGGACTCCGACTACGACTCCGACTCCGGCTTTCAAAAACCAGCTCCGACTCCGACTCCGACTCCGGGCAGAAATGTCGACTCCGACCGACTCCAACTCCCGACTCCGACTCCGCAGTCCTAGCAGGGCTGCGGAGTCGACAGATTTTCGGTGACTCCGACTCCGACTCCGGCTCGGGTTTCTAAAATCGACTCCGACTCCGACTCCGACTCCGGTCACAACTGTCGACTCCGACCGACTCCGACTCCGACTCCGCATCCCTGTTTGTGGGTATCTGAAGTGAAGAAACATTTCATTTATTTCCTGAGTAAAATGAGACAGAGCCTAGGATCCGGGATGAGATGATTAACACGAAATCGCAAATGATTTTTCCTGTTTCAATATAAAAATAAGCTGGTCGCAAACTAAAACATTCGATCGTACGATATGTGAGCGGTGAAGGTGATAAACACAAATATCCGGCAGTTTGTGACGAATGTCGCCGGCCCGGCCTGACCTGACCTGACCCCGCCAGTGGCGGCGGAACACCTTCAAATTAAGGGGGGAGGGGGCACTGCCGACTTTTGGTCCCATTCTTTCCGTGCAACGCCCATAAGACTAATGTTAAAATGCCAAAATCAAAGGGGACACGATGCCCCGGTGCCCCCCCCCCGTTCCGCCGCCTATGGACCCCGCACCTTGGTAGGATAGAGATGCCGCCGATGGTGGCTGACCCCACCAATAACCTGACCCGCTACCCTGTACCCAGTGTACGATAGAGATGCCGACGACACTGACTGACCTGACCAGGCCAGTGACTTACTTAACCCCTCTTCCTGTCCCCTGTGTACGATAGAAATGCCTCCAATGAAGGCTGACCTGACCTGACCAATGACCTGATCTGACCTGACCCCGCTCCCCTGTCCCCAGTGTACGATAGAGATGCCTCCAGTGATGGCCGACCTGACCAGACCAGTGACCTGACCCGCTCCCCTGTCCTCAGTGTACGATAGAGATGCCTCCAGTGATGGCCGACCTGACCAGACCAGTGACCTGACCCGCTCCCCTGTCCTCAGTGTACGATAGAGATGCCTCCAGTGATGGCCGACCTGACCAGACCAGTGACCTGACCCGCTCTGTTGTCCCCAGTGTACGATAGAGATGCCTCCAGTGATGGCCGACCTGACCAGACCAGTGACCTGACCCGCTCTGTTGTCCCCAGTGTACGATAGAGATGCCTCCGATGATGGCCGACCTGACCAGACCAGTGACCTGACCCGCTCTGTTGTCCCCAGTGTACGATAGAGATGCCTCCAGTGATGGCCGACCTGACCAGACCAGTGACCTGACCCGCTCTGTTGTCCCCAGTGTACGATAGAGATGCCTCCGATGATGGCCGACCTGACCAGACCAGTGACCTGACCCGCTCTGTTGTCCCCAGTGTACGATAGAGATGCCTCCGATGATGCCCGACCTGACCAGACCAGTGACCTGACCCCGCTCCCCTGTCCCCAGTGTACGATAGAGATGCCTCCGATGATGGCCGACCTGACCACGGCCCCGGTCAACTGCTCCATGTGCGCCGATATCGACCGGGTCGACAGAGTCTCCAACATCACACCGGAGGAGTTCGAGCAAAAGTGAGGACCAGAGATTCGCCCGGCAGCTGCATACTGCAGCAGTGGGCTGCGCTGGAGAGCAAATCATTTCTGAATTAAATATTGCATAAATCTGTTCGGGAAATAATGCAGAGCACATTATAAAAATTGGGAGCAAAAATTGACGCTTTACGCAGTTCTCTTCATCTACAATGTGTTAATAAATATCAAGCAAATAGTTTCTTTAAAAAAATGCGTCGAAAAAATCCACGGAAGGGTACGGCGAAAGTACGGCGGAAAAAAAAAACGGGCCGGTCGACTAAGCTCCCAGGATGCACTGTCTGCTGCGCCGAGTGATGACGCCCAGCTCAGGTCAGGTCAGGCGGTGTGACCGGGTGCTCCCGTGGCCGCCAGGTACGCCTACTCGGGCCGGCCGGTGGTGGTCACCGACGGAACCGCCTACTGGACGGCACCGCGCGTCTTCAACTTCAACTTCTTCAAGGAGCTGTACGGCCCCAGCTCGCCCGTCATCGAGAGCACCGACAACAGGGGCTGTCAGTTCTTCCCCTACAAGTGAGAGGTCTTCCTCTGATAAATCTTGGGTCTTCTTACTTCTAAGTAATTACGGGGCACAGGCGTTTCAATAATTCTTTCGAAATATTCCGTTAGAAATTGTACATTCATAGTTCAGCAAAAAAAAAACATCCTTTCCTCTGTTTATCTAAGATTATCCTTATTTCGATCTTCAAAATGTGAATCGTCACCGGTGGCATGCGCATGGTCATTCAACGCTTATTCTAGTTATTACGACGATCAGCTACTCGAGTCGGCCCTAGCCTGCAAGTCAACCTATTGATCGCTTCAGAAAAAAGTCGCAGGCCGTCACCACGCTCGGTCCGGCGCCCCCGTCAAATGTTACACCACCCCACCGTCGACGTCTGAGAGGTCAACGGGTCACGGGAAGGGTGCAGCACGCGGTATGTCAAACTGGCAACGACTCTGCACGATGGTAGTGGAAAGTGATCGCTGCGGGTGGCTGCTGAGTGCTGGTAATAGGCGAGTAGTGGTCGTCTGATCGCAGTGGGTGGCTGCTGGTAACAGGCGAGTAGTGATCGTCGACCGGAAAACTTCGAACACTTTATGAGAACAGTATGTTCCAGGCGGGTGGTCACTCAGTGACTGGTATTGATTGGCGGTAACTCGTGAATTGGGACGGTGGTAATTACATAGGAAACAGATGGATGCGTTATTCTAAACCGAAATTAGCCGAAATAAAAGTATTAGCGGAACAGATTTTATGCTGTATCTCGACAAAAAACGAGCAGGAAATACACAGAACGGCGACGTCTGCCGAAGAATTAACCCAGCGAGGACTGCTCCGGTTGTTTTTCAATAGAAAAACACAATTCTAACGAATGGTGTTAGTCTATTTCAAACAACCTGCGGTTACGAAAGCCCAAAGCTGACTAGTTTCTTCTATGCATAATCACCGCCTACTTAGCACTTATGTCGCCATTCGCCTGTCTCGGGTCTCTGAGCCGCTGAGGAGACGGTGACGGTTCCCGGCTCTCCACTGTGCCAGCGTCGCCGGCGGGGAGTCACGGCCGAACTAAGGGCCGCGGTGGGATAGGGCCGCGGACGGCTGCACCGGCCGGCTAATCCCGGCTTTCGCCGCCGCCTGGGACGACAGACATGGCCGGGGAACGCGCCCCGGTGACTGCGGCAGGTCCCCGTCGGAGCCGAAAACGGCCACTTATCTATTGCCCGGGTGCACTGACTACTGATTGAGTGCACCTGACCCGTGGTATTGAGAAGATAATGACTAGGTGGTGGCGAGGTTGTAAGACGGCGTCTTGGCACCAATATATCCTATCTTAGCTGGCAATAATTACCGGCTGGATCGTTGTGATAAAGATGTGACGGTTTATCGCGCCTAATCTTCACATTTACAGTTGTGCAAAGATCTGACGCATTGTTACCGTCCTAACTACCGTCGCTAAGCAACTTACGAAATGCAGGCTTATCAATGGAGACCCACTGCAAAATGACATCTTGGTTAGCAGACTTGGTGTTCCGGCTTGAACATATCATCGCCTAAGCATGTCACAAAGAGCCTTGAAGCTGAGCCAGACACTCGCCGTATCCTAATGCGATGCAACGGTGCGAGCAGTCTGCGGCGGGACCCATGGGCATCCCCTCACCATCAAACCAGCTCCATAATCCCGACTCTAGAGCCCGGTCAAAGACCTGCCACAACTCGGGCCAGGTACGAGTCTGAGCGAGCGGTTCTGGTGTGTCGAGGCTGACATTTCACTCGTGGTTTCAGGACTAATTTCCGATCGCTGCGGGAGGTGTTCTCGATGTCCCAGGACCGAGCTGACATGAAGCCGGGAGAGAAGCCGTGGTATATCGGATGGTGAGTGACATCGATTTGACTGTAATGAACAGGGAGCTCCCGTAAAATAAACTTTCCGATTAGTTTGAGTGCAGCGATATTTTCATTTGGCAGGGGCTGAAATACTTTAACTCAGTTCGTACTTACGGTCCATTATGCGAGGTCAACCTTCGACCCAATCTATTCTACTCGCAGGTCAGCTGTAAGTGACTGTCTCCATTGCCCGCACGCCCAACTCAACTGTAATGTCCCTACCGCTTCAGGTCCAACTCTTAACTGTTTCAACTTTCAACTATCCAGTCATCCAACGGCAACTGTCTAGTGTCTCCATTGCCCCAGGTCCAGCTATAACCGTCTGCGCTGCCCCCACCACAGGTCCAACTGCGACTCGGCGGCGGCCAACGAGCTGCGCCGTCACTACAGCCGGCCGTACTTCCTGCCCGACACCTCAGAGTCCAGCCGACTCGACTGGATCTTCATGGGCACGCCCGGCTTCGGCGCCCACATGCACGTGCGTATAAAACGCCCCGCTTCGGCGCCCACATGTATAGTCTCTCTTAAAGTATCGCGTCTCGAAAGTATCGCTATGGCCCCTGGCTTTTGAGGGTTGGCAGCCTGGCCAATCTGCGCCTTTTTCACGACTTCACGGGCCAGACAGGCGGCCAACCCTCAAAAGCCAGCGGCTGTCAAACCACGGAGCGACCAAGATTTTTACAGATAGGAGCGACAGCGATGCTTTCAAGAGAGGCTATACGTGCGTAGAAAAAAACGCCCGGCTTGAACCGAAAAAAAAGATTTTCAGTAGCCCTGGCCAGTGGTGGACAGCCAGTCCGGGAGGCGTGGCTTGAAGATCAAACTCGGTAAATCACCTCGAGTATCCGGTTCACCCCACGCCTTGGCCTGTGCCCTCGTCAGATGAATGGTGACCGGTCCAGATAACACGGCCGGCGGGCCGACTGCGTGGACCGGGTCTGTCCGGCTGCTCCCGCTTCAGTCACACACCAATAAGCGTAGTGTGATCAATTAAGACATCTTGTATTCTTTAAAAAAAACTCCTTCTTGGTTATCAATGTTCCTTGGTTAGAGCGCAAACTCACGATCACTCCGCATCTGTACTGTAACAAATGTGTTTAAATTTAGATTCAATCAAGACCATCATCTAACCCCACGTCTCCATGCGTCCGTTTCAGATTGACCACGTGAGGAACCCGTCGTGGCAGGCCCAGCTGCACGGCCAGAAGCTGTGGACGCTGCAGCCGCCACCCGAGTGTCAGAGCGTGTGCCGTCGGATGGAGACCACCGTCAACCCGGGAGAAATCAGTGAGTAACTGTTCACTGTCCAGTGTCAACCCGAGAGGAAACAGTGAGTGATCAACCTCAGTCCGAGCGAAATCAGTAGCTTATGTTGATGTCTAGCGTTAACCCCGGCGAAATCACTGCCCCTCTGTCCAACGTCAAGCACGACAAAATGAATGGATATCCATAGTGGTGAGAGCATGCTCAAGAGCCAAAAGCGACAAGCAGGCCACAAACAACAAAGCCAAGCTTCCTACAATCCACACACGAGCTGGTGTTTGAGGTTCAAAAACATCTTGAAAACTAGCCACCCGACGGCAGTACCATTTTAGCGTCAGTGGTTTACGGATCTTTTTGGGGCGGACACGTGGAATTTCTGTGGCATTAACTCTTCGATAAAGCCGCAGCGGAGGACACACTGACCGCAATGTCCCGAGTATTAGGCGGTGTGCACGGGAGGCAAAACGGGTTGGACACGTGTCCCGCAGGCCTAAACGTCGTGCTATCCCCGGCCGTGGTTTGTAGCGATCGCTGTAAGTGTAGTAAGACCTTTACAAGCTACCACCGTGACGCGTCATTCATCACCGAGTCTGCTTAGCTGAGCACAGAAACAACCAGTAAATAATTTTGACTGGAGGCGATGGAAAAGGCCCTAAAAGTAACACATACCCTCTGGCTGGACAATGGACAGCATTCAGCTAGAGGACGATCACATTGCCACGGTAGCCGCATCAGAATTGAATTAGGAAATCTACGAGCTTTGTCTTATCTAGACTGAACTGGACTTACTTAGACTTTGAATTACTTGTCTTATCTAGACTTACTATCGTAACCCCGTTACGGTCGTTCTACCGTTGCAGTTGTACTGGACACCAACATCTGGTACCACATGACGACCATCGTCTCGGACGTCATCAGCATCACCATCGGCTCTGAGTACGACTGAGACGTCACTGGACGTCATCGGACGTCATCGAGGATCATCAGACACGCCATTGGTGTCATCACTCCTCGCGAGGCATCACCAGATGCCAGCTTACGTCCTGACAGCGATGTTAGAGTAGGAGGCTGAGGTGTACGCAGGTGATAAAAGCTTCTGTCTAGTCTCTTGCGCGGCGACCAGCAGCTTGCGAAGAATACACATTCGAAGAATAGAATGGTACCCTTGAAGGTAGAAGGGCGCCAACCGTTTGCAGCTGCTGTGTTGATGGGGTTTGGGTGAGGCCGTCGAGCTCGAAAGGGCTTGGACCTATGGAAGGGTGAGGAGGTTTGGACTATGCATAATGATCAGCGCTGTTAGGCGTTGAAAGCGATGATTGTCGTGTCAATTATCCTGCGTTGTATCGCCGTATTGCGTCAATTACCAGCTGTGTTGCGCCCGTTGTTTTATTGTGCCGAATGCCCGACTGTCGTTCGCTACTGCTTATAGCATGTGAGCATACGCAGTCAATGTTAATGCAAACACATGCTGGCTGAATTGACGTTCGCCGTCGTACATATTATGCCATAAAGTTAGGTATGTGCTTTGGTGTTTGAGTGTTGCAGTCGCAGATGTTCGCAAATCTACAAACGTGCTTCTGCATATCGAACAATAAAAGGAAAAAGGCAGAATTAGCCCCGACATAATTGCGTGACATCCAATTCGGATCAAAAGACCGACGGGTCTGCAGCTGGTATCCAAGCGAATATATTTACAAAAAGAGGCGAACGATTCCGCCTGAAACATAGAAGAAAAGTATGGGTAATTACTAAATATAGACTGCAGTCTGCAAACATTCCACAAAACTTCTTTCAGCCTTTCGAAATAAAGTTTGTAGATGTCCGCAAATACATGACGCAAAGTACAAATCCTGCACTTCTGCATATACATACGTATGAACAAGTAAACCGGTCAGCTGGTAAAGGTTATGCGCTAAATTTAGCACTTTCGATCAAAACAGGTTTTAATCACTGCAATCCTATCGAGTTTGACATCTGCAAACGCCTTCCACCGAGGATAACCAATGCCGTGGAAATGAATAAGATTCCAGTAACGGTTCGCAAGTGATTAGCACCATAGTGATTAGTGATGGTGCCCGGCGCCGCTGCCCTCTGCTACGGATGACATCGGATTTCGGACCCTTCACGCGTCCAATAAGCCGAGCAATTGACAGCGAAACCTGTATTGCATCCGGTCGAACGATGCCATTTGAACCAAAGATGGACCATGCTCAGAGCCAGCGAGGATGGGAGTAGCCCCAAAAGTCCAGGACTGGCCACAAGACCGCGCCGCCCCCGCCTCCGCCCGAACCAACGGATTTGCGGCTTTTGTGGCGTGCCGTGGCGTGCAACGAGGCGAGTTTATCGCGGCCGGCAGGCTGGCCCGTCCGTCGGCCGGGGGGGGGGGGGGGGTAATAAACAGGACCGGGGGCCCCCGCTCCCTGACAGGACATGTTATCACAGGGTTACAGCCGCGGCCCTGTATGACGAACGGTGCCGATGGGGCGGCAGACGGCCAGCTGCGTACTTCGACAGGGATGGAGCCATGCTAAAAGGCGCATCACATCATGCATATGAACTGGATTGAATGGCGATCAGTGTCGTTTTAGACGTGATCGGGCGCTGTTGTATGTAGCGCATTGACAGTTTACTCGCTTCTGTCAAACTTTCCACCGCCTGGGTAGACAACTTTTGCCGTCAGACAGCCTTCTCATCAGCCTTACTCTCACCGTAATGGCTAAAAATCAGAGCTTATGGTTACACCAGCGGCACAATAAGCCCCACCACTGTCCAACTCTCACAAACAGGAAGGGATTAGCAGTTTGGCTGTGGAATGCCGAGGAGATTGCTCATGTAAAGCGCCATTTTGCCCGCTCGCCTACAGTAATAAGCGATTATGAGCCATGCTAGCCACATATTATAAGGTCAGACCAATCAGACGAGGAAGAGGTGTTCACAGTAACATCGCCTGTATTGTTCTCCGTAGTGCCTGTTATAGCCACAATTATCCACACCACACAATGCAAAACACAATGCTGCTGACGTGTACACTAGTGTTCAGTTTACAAGAAAACATTTACAAGACACTTCCCACAAATCGCCACACGGGTTTTCCGCAAATAGCAATTTAGTGTTTTCCGGTATACTAACAATGTAAACGAAGAAAAGAGAAAAAAGCGAAAAGAAATGTTTGGAACAAACACTAATTCCAGAAAATATTATGAACCTCTACTCATTGCCACAAAAAGAATTGGCAACAAACAGATGTGACTCACCAGTTCTCAGCAGAGCGTGAAAACTGCCCCGTCCACCAAACAAACAATGGGCAGCAGGGTTCCCAATGTCACACGATGCGAGTCCTCCATTGAAGACATTCAGTTACACTTGCACAGCGACAAAGCAATGACTATGGCAAGAGCTCCTCACTTGGCGCTGATCACGAGTCAGTAGCGGGAACAGTAACAAGCCTCGTACAATACGGCTGCAACTTGCAAATGGAAATTTGTACAGCAAGTTCTATCAACCTGCAGAAAATCAGCGAGCTCAATTAGCGACTTAAGTCAACGGAATGGTAAACGCCTTATCAACGGCGCAACAACTCAGGTAGGGCATCGCTGACAGAGGTCGGTGGCCGCAGTTTATATCAAGCCAACAGAGCACGACGTCCAAAAATCACCACCTTCACAGCCAAGTGGCAGCCCTCCGCCACTCTAGACAACATCGGCCGACCCCGGTAACACCGGGACACCTGAACCTAACCCACTCTCCCTCCGACAGACCTATCAGGGTGTCTCGGCCGTCACCTTGCTGTCCCGGTACACGCGTCCGTCCAGCGTCACCGCCTCGCACACCTCCTCGAAGGCGCGCCGCAGCTCGAAGCAGAGCCGCTCGTTGGCGGGCAGCGTGTGCCGCAGCGCCGCCGCTGGCTCCTCGTCGTCGTCCGGCCGGCAGTCGTCGCCGCCGTCGGGCTGTCCGCCCTTCTGGCCGTCGTGCCGTATGACCAGGTGGTGGCTGGGTCCGGCCAGCGCCGTGTGACTGGCGCTGACACGTCCCAGCTGCAGCAGGAGAGCCGTCACGTCCTCGGCCAGTGGCGGCAGCGCGCGCACCAGACGCACCAGGGCGGGCAGGGCGGGCAGGAAGGCGCGCGGCCGCTCTGTCCATGGCAGCACTGCGGGCGCGGACACAGCGGGTAGTGAGGCGGCACACAGGGACGGGACACGGGGTACGACACGACAGGGCTGCGACATGGCCATCGGCCAGCGGTCTGTGGCGTCACTGATGTAACTGCGTCCCCTCAGGTGACTCTCGAGGTTAACACCATAGGAAAAATATGTGAAAGCAAAGAACAGAACAAATAAAACAAATATTAAAAACTGTACAACATATACTATACAGTGAATCTTGAAAATTCAAGCAAGACCAAAGCAACAACTATTTGGGACAAAAGTCAAAGGATAAGTGCTAGGGGTAAAAGGCGATGAAGTATCAAAGTATGCTACCCACAAAAGATGTAGGCAAAGATGTTAACGCACATCAATACTGCGCAATGCACCTACATTATCGGCTTCATAGTTTTAGTGGCAATGAAACTGGGCGAGTATTATAGTGCAAAACCGCTAACCATAAAACTAAAAAGACATGCTGGGCAAATCAGACAAGTGAGCGCACAGCACTGACAATCCCCAGCTATTTGCACTGAGCACTGTGCATGCAGTTTACAGATCACGTCATGCAGTTCTCCGCGTTAGTACGGTAACCTGCCGATCCTGTGCTAAGCCCCTAAATCACGGAGCAATAAAGCAGTAAAACTCAGGAGACTTACCAAATATTAGCGAAGTCTCAACCTTGTGTCAAAACGAAGCGCATGATGCAATATGTAAATTGCCTTTCCGTAGTCTAGGATTTGCGAGAAGGAATAAGGAAAACGCGCGTCTCGTATTCGATAATGGTAGCGCGAGTAATTACAAGGCTCAATCCTTCGCACTGATGGACTGTATTCGACAACCCGGCAGTGCACCCCAAAAGTGAAACGGCGCTGTGTGGTAAAACTCCGCTGAAAACAAGCCAGCTGTTCACGAGAAACGACAGCAAGCGACAACCAGTATCAGTGCGAGCTTAGGTTTTCAGCAAAACTTACATACCATTAGAGACGCAAGGGGAGCATCGAAACTCACGTCAAAGGGTTGTTTTTCAGCTTTAACGTGCCGTTTGCGATGTCTCAATAAACTGCACTGGAAGCGGGCGGAGCTCCCGATTAAGGCAACAAGCTGAAGTCACCTGCTCGTCGTTAGCCGTTAGGGACAGAGTCGAATACCTCCAGCATTGAGCAGCAATTCCAGCAGTGCCGATAATTTCGATTTACACTTCATCGCCACCTCCCCGTGGAAGATGAACTTTCGAACGATAAACAATCCGCAAATCCGACTGTTTACTTTCACGGGGCTTTCGTTAGTGTCACAGAATTACGAAGCCACAGGAATTCCAAGGATATCCAAGGTGGATGGACTCCGAAAGTAGCAGACTGGCCACACACGTAAGATAAAAAGCTAAAGAAAACACAGCACCAGCGCCCCAATAATTAGCAGAGTATGCATCCACCTCATTCATTATGATGGTTATCTACGGGCAAAAATAGCAAAGCATTCGCAATCACCGTCGACCACTAGGTCTGCAGCTCTGGCACTATCGCAGCATGCGGTTTCAGTCAGCTTCTAACAAAAGTGCATACATTTCGAGTGGAGCAGGTTTTAGATATCGCCCAGCTCCCCAATTAAGATCCAAAGTCATGAGCGACCGGGTTCCGAGGGACATTCTAGACTACCTCAACCACGAGTAAGCACAGGAGTATCGAAACAACCCCAATGCCGAAAAGGCTGATGAGCGGGCAGGGGCAGGGGAGGCGGACCCGTCTTCTACCAAATGCTATGACCAGACGGCCAATGTTATGACCAATGTTATGACTATTATGTTAAGATCTTCTAGTAGCAAGACAACCGGGCGAACTCACCTTCAAGCAGCGTGGTGAGAGTGTTGATGACCAGCCGGCCGGTGCTAAAGCAGCGCGGAATGGGGAACTGTAGCGCCAGGTGGGAGGCCAGCTCGGCCGCGAAAATCTGCTTCTCCAGGTCGGGCTGAGACAGCAGCTCGGGCATGAAGTCGAGGCAGATGTGCATGGACGGCACGCCGGCCACCAAAACGGGCAACGCCTCGGCGGGGTAACCCTGAGAGCGGAGGGGAGGGAGGTCACGGTCAGCAGGGGCAAAACAGGTGACACCAGGATATCGATGACAGAATACAGGACAGAGGGACGCATAATAAATGACACCGGGGCACGGAATATATGACGGTGGGACACAGCATCTTTTCAACACCAAGCAAACTCTTCATCACAACTGTACAACTCCAGCCCCTCACTCCCAACCCCTTCCATTTAGGAGGATCGTTCCCTCCCGGTGCGACGGGTCACCCTCACCTGAAAGTGGACCAGCTTGGCCAGCATGGGGTTATCGATGAAGGCCTGGTGGAGGAAGGTGCAGACCAGGCA